GGACTTTACGAAGCCAGTGGCCTCGCGCTGTGGCTGGCCACCGAAGCTTTTGCCAGTGCGTCTGAGGATGTGTGCTGGCAGGATCTCCAAACTTTCGAAGACGCTTTCTTCTCCAAGAAAGTTGCTTTCAGCACAGTTGTATCGCGTGAAGCTGCCAAGAAGAAACAAAAAACGTCACGAAACCGGCTGACGTGGCCTTGTGAGATGATTGTCCTCACGGAGTCAGCATCTGACGTGATTCACGAAGAGTTCAACAGCTCGTTGCATCTTGCTAGCGGCGTGTTTGTGTTGTGGGCTTGGTACTTGGCCGTCTTCAAAGCCCTAGTCTCCCAGGACAGTTGCTGCTTGTGTTCACATGACATGACATGTTATTGATTCATCTGACTGATGTGTGCTTGCACTTGGCAGGACAAAGCAGTTTTGGAGATTTTGTGGGAGTGTGGCTGCACTGTCACGATACAGGTTCGCTTGGGTTCCAGCGCAGGGGAGATTGCGAAGAGTCGCAATCTTGCTTCAGAGAAAGTCAAGGCACTCGGGCACCCTGGCCTGTCCGACACCTTTTGGACATTTGCAAAGACTGTCCAGCTGCTCAAGGTCGAAAAAGTCCAGGATGGTGAGGAACAGAACTTGAGGTACAACAACACCTTGTACAACAAGGCCTTACACCAGGCTGCCACAGCAGCTGTTGCAGTGCTGCGGGGTCCATCCGGTCCCGTGGAGAAGGCTGCCCGGAGATGGGAGCTGGAATTTGGGCGGGGCATCTTGAGCAGTCAGTACTCGAAGTTGAGCAAGCTGTTATCGCTGACCAACAAGCTCGCATCTGCTACCAGAAACGCTGTAGACCTGACGGCCTGGATGATCGACTCCTTGACGCTGTCCCTGCGCATGAACATGGTCACGCCAGCTAAATGCACCGAGAAGTTTCTGGATCGAGACCGGAAGACAGGCGATGCTGGCTTTTGGTTGTCGCGCATGCTGGTGGTGCAGGCATTGTAACTATTCTGACTAGCGTGTGTATTTTTTTTTTTGCGGAGTGTTGCAAGTCATCGGCAGCTTGAACACTGACAGAGGTCTTCGATTATGCAGCAAAGCTGGCGAACAAGTTGCCTGAGCCGGACAAGGTTAAGCTGACAGGGATTTTGGCTGAACTCCGTTGCCCTTCCACATGGTGGGAGAAATATCTCTGCCATGCTGATGCTGATCAAGGGGCTGCTGGAGAGGACGACATGGACGGCGAGGACCCAGAGGACGTGGAGCGCCCTGTTCCGCAGGCCAAGATTGGAGCTGTTAAAGAGGGTTTCAACAAAGCCATTGGCATGCTTTTGGATTTGCTGCTGGAGCTGATGTCGGGGAAGTACTACAAGGATTGCTGCATGCTGGCTTCGAGTGAAGATGGCCTTGCAAAGGCATTGACAGCTGCACAGCTTGGAAGCTCGGATGACACTGAGCACGAGGAGCCATGTGCGCTTATCACTCAGATGAAGATCATTGTCGACAAGTTCGACAACAGCACGAAGTCCGTTGGTGCCACATCTGCGGCTCCTTCTCCGAGTTTGCTCCAAAGCCTGGCCAAGGCTTCTGAAGCTGACACACCCGAGGAATGTGTCGAGCGTGAGCGGCAGTGGAAGGCGGTGCAAACGGAACGCCGCGAGTTCGTGTCGTTCTCGGTACCGAACAAGATCTCGAAGGACTGCCTAGTCAATGCGTTCAGAGGTTGCGGCAAGGTCTTCACGCACAAGGGCACCTTAACCTCTTCGCACCGCCTGATCGTTGCCAGTGCGGATCTCTTGGCAGAGGCTGGTACCGACCCGTGGCTCAAGGGCACTCCGCCAAGCGAGGAATGGAAAGAGATCTGTGCCTTTGCCAAAGACATTTCTGGGCCCGAGGATTTCGTTGTACTCTTCGACGGCAGAATGCGGGAAATTCGCCGCGTGTCCGAGTCTTGGCGGGGTGATGTGACAAGGCTCCCAGGCTCCAAGGCTCAAAGGCTGCACCTGGTTCTTTAAGGAAGACCTCCTGCTGAACCAGCAGCACACCGAGGAGTGCACCATCGTGTACTCAGGTGGGTGCCCGCCGAGAACTGGTCGCACTCGCCGCGTTCCGCTGGCTGCAAAGAAGGTGGAGACAGGAGCGGTTAAGTTCCCGGTCGCACGCACCAACATTCAGACGACGAAGAAAGGCTCCTTCACAGTCTGCGGCGAGGCTTCTACGTACCAAGGCACTTACTCAGGCGTGGAGTACCGTGCGGTTTCTGAAATGCCCCTCGTGGCTGCAGACACCAAGAAGAAGATCATTGCTCCGGCAACAACCGGCGACCTCCCGACACCGCCAGAGGACTGGCAGGATCGCCACGGCTCCGACGTACCCTTGTTCTGGAACGAGTCGAAGCCGATAGCATATTGGAATGCCATCATTGAGGAGTTTTGCGCGGAGGCAGTGTTTGACCTCACGGCTGGCACCGGTGCTCTGATGGAGGCTTCTTTGACTGCCGGCATCGCATACCACGGGCTTTGCAGCACCCTTACTTGTCCAGTAGATTCGTCAGATCATTGTCATTTGATTTTATTTAAATTATCCGAGGCCTCAACAAGGAGCACATGTCGTGGGTCCAGGTGGTTGCTGATCGCGCAGCTTGCGGAATGATGGCTTTGGAGGGATCCACTCTTTACTCGGACGAGAATGCCAAGGCGGTGAAGAAGCATTTCCCGCACGTTCTGGAGAGCTTGTCCAACCAAGACGACCAGGACGAGGCACCTGCTGAGCCAGATAGCCCCCGCGATCAACCGCAGTGATGATGTTTCACTTCGACCGAATCCGCCAGCTCAGGCACCAGCTCGGGCACCTAGGCTCCCAGGTTCTCAGGCTCTTGACCTTTTGCCGGGCTCAGTTTTGTCAGTAGTGTGTAGCAGTGACTACTGTCGCCTGAAAAAGCCGAAATGCTCTTATTGTGGCATGACATTGAAATAGGACTCGCCGAGGATGTTGTTACAGCGACTACAACAGTTGTAGTCGCCTGAATGCATTAAAGCGAGCCGTTATGGCCCCAGGTTCCCAGGCTCTGAGGTTCCCTGCTTGGGTTCGACATGGGCTGCCGATGGAGGCCTACCAGACGCCTCTGGGGCAAAACCAGTCTCAAGACGGCTTCTCGTCGGATGCCCCGGGGGTGCCAGCATGGTGGCAGCAAATCGCAGAGCTTGCGGAAGCAGGCTGTGAAAGACGGCTTGGTCCCCAAGGCTCGAAGGGCCTTCGTCATCTTGTTCCAGGAAAACTCCGAAGTCAAGAAAGGCGCTCCCAAGCACGAGTTTCTCAATGAGATGAAGCATCTTGGCGCAGTCTGGCAGGGCATGACCGACAAGCAGAAGGCACCATTCATGGCGAGGAGAAAAGATGAGTTCATGGCTCAGCGAAGTGCACTGGCCGTTCTTGGCATCAGGATGCGGGGCTCCACGACCAGTGCGGGCGGCCCCGACTAGGCGAAGGACCCCCCTGCCGCTGACGAATCTGGCGGTCGCGTTGGCCCATTTGAGCTTAATGGTGCAAGGGCTCCAATTGGAGGCGGAGCCTATGGCAGTGTCTACAGTTGCCAGCATCCGCAAAGCGGCCTTAACGTGGAGGTGAAGGTTTATCGTGGCTCCGATGGCCCCGCGGATTGCAGGCACGAAGTGGAGCAGATGAAGCTTCTAATGAAGGCCGTTCCGCAGCAGAAGATGATGTGGTTCCCGCTTCTTGTCAGCTCGGGTGGCACGGGCAGACCTTGGCCATGGATGGCTACTAGCCTATGTGGGCCCAGCCTGGCAACCGCACTTCGAAATCCTGCGGCGCATGGCAAGCCGAGGACGTGGTCTGTGGCAGCTCAGCTGAGAAGTGCACTGCAGACCTTGCATGACGCAGGCATCCTACACTTGGATGTGAAACCTGGCAATGTTCTTTGGTGCCCTTGCACAGATCAGGTGCAGGTGTGCGACTTCGGCATGAGTGAGAACATGGCACGGCTCCAGAAGGCTTCTCAGGCTCCCAGGTTCCTGCAGTATGTCACGGCTGCCTATCGACCTCCGGAGCTGTGGCCCGCTCGTGTGAATGGCGATGGAGACTGCGGTGTCAGAAAGCAGCTGCTGACTGCAGCTGTGGATATGTGGGCCTATGCTTGCGTGGTGGTTGAGGTGGAGACCGGGAATCCCTTCATGCCCAAGGGGGAGGCCGGACTGAGAGCGTGGTGCAAGCAGTGGCCCGAGCTGTGGAAAACACGCAGCGACTTAGCCAATTGCCCCGCTGCAAGTCACACGTGCTGCACAAAGGTGCTTCGAGCCGGTAAATGGGGGCTGGTTGTGTTGGTCGGCTGTGCTCCAGACCCCGGAAAGCGGCGGTGGCCGGAGCTCTGTCTGAATCAGAAATGACTCGACTGAGCCTCCATTTTTATTTGATGATGGCTCGTATGGTTTAACGTGTGTTTAGAGTCGGTTAAAGGGTTTCAGGGTTAGTAGGGTGTGACTTTCATAGCCTTCGTGTGTTCAGTTAGCAGCATATCCGAGCATGGGGGCAAGATTGCATGCAATGTGAGATGCAGTGAGTTTCCTCGTTGTAACCGATTCCGCACAGTGCCGTGCGTTGCATCTTGCCGAAGTGGTGAAGTGCGTCGTGACAAGCTGTTTGCAGGGCGTGTCGCTGCTACCAGGTTCCCAGGCTCCAAGGTCTGGCGCAAGACTGGCTGGGATCCCTAATTCAATTATTTTAATTCTCAGCGCGGGGGTTGTCCGAAAAAGCAGAGGCCAGTGTCGTGAGTCATGTGAACGCACCCAAATTCCACATGTAACCTGGTTCACATGTCGTTCTTTGCAGGCAGGGAGATGGGCAAGCGTGGTCCACGGCCGCAGCGCCAAGGAAGCTGTCAGGACCCGTGCTGCGTTGGACAGTCAAGTTTAATTAATTTGACAGCGGATCTTGGCTGTCGCCAGGATGATTCGATGCTGCGAGGGACCGCATCGACATCGACCCATCGTCGTCAAGGCCACAAGGTTTAGTTTCAAAGCACCCTGCCCTCATGTACGTTTGTGTTCTACTGCTTCTGGCCTTGAATCTGCCTCGCTGCAGACAGCTCGGTACGACCAGGCATGCTGAGTGAAGAACCTGACTAGAATGAGACCCTCTTTCAGCGAAAGAGAGTCAAGATGCAGGCTCCAAGGCTCCAAGGCTGTGAAATGAAAAGGGGGACCCTGCCTCTGGCTCCCGTCCAAGCCTAACTGTGGTCGAAATGTTTTTTCTTCAACGGGGGACCCTCCGTGGCCTCTGGCTCCGGGCCAAGCCTAACTGTGGTCAAAATGAAAGGGGGGCCCTCCTTGGCCTCTGGCCCCGTGCCAAGCCTAACTGTGGTCAAAATGAAAGGGGGACCCTCCTTGGCCTCTGGCTCCGGGCCAAGCCTAACTGTGGTCAAAATGAAAGGGGGACCCTCCTTGGCCTCTGGCTCCGCGCCAAGCCTAACTGTGGTCAAAATGAAGGGGGCCAAGCAAGGCTCCAAGGCTCGCAAGGCAAGGCTCCAAGCTGGCTTTGGCTCCAAGGCTCCAGAAAGTGGGACCCTGCTTGCCTTTGGCTCTAAAGCAAGGCTCCCAGACTGCAAGGCTCCAAGAAATGAAAAGGGGGACCCTCCTTGGCCTCTGGCTCCGGGCCAAGCCTAACTGTGGTCAACATGACGAAAGCGTGCCAAGCAAGGCTCCAAGGCTCGCAAGGCAAGGCTCCAAGCTGGCTTTGCGCCAAAAAGCTCCAAGGCTCCAGAAAGTGGGACCCTGCTTGCCTTTGGCTACCGGTCCAAATGTAAAGCAAGGCTCCCAGGCTCCAAGTCTCCAAGAAATGAAAAGGGGGACCCTCCTTGGCCTCTGGCTCCGGGCCAAGCCTACCTGTGGTCAACATGACGAAAGGGTGCCAAGCAAGGCTCCAAGGCTCGCAAGGCAAGGCTCCAAGCTGGCTTTGCGCCAAAAGGCTCCAAGGCTCCAGAAAGTGGGACCCTGCTTGCCTTTGGCTCCCGGTCCAAATGTAGAAATGAAAAGGGGGACCCTCCTTGGCCTCTGGCTCCGGGCCAAGACTAACTGTGGTCGAAATGTAAGGCAATGCTCCAAGGCTCCAAGGCTACCGAAATGAAAAGGGGGACCCTTCTTGGCGTTTGCGGAGCCCCAAGCCGCCTAGCTGTGGGCGAAATGTAAAGCAAGGCTCCAAGCTCCCTACCTGAAGATGGTGACCCTCCTTGACCTCTGGCTCCGGGCCAAGCCTGACTGTGGTCGAAATGTAAAGCAAGGCTCCCAAGCTCCAAGGCTCCAACCTCCTTGGCCTCTGGCTCCGGGCCAAGCCTAACTGTGGTTGAAATGCAAGGGTTCCGGGCTCCAGGGCTCCACGGCTGCCGGAATGAACAGGGAATGTTGCCTGGTTTGCGATGCAAGCGCTTCGTTGACAGGCTCCAAGGCTCCAAGGCTCTTCGGTACGAGCAGCCAGGCCCCCAGGTTCCGAGGCAATATGCCAATGCGTAGTCCATCCTTAAAGGCCTTCAGCCTAAAGCCCAAAGCACTAGGAGCGGGGCGAGAACCATCCTCGACGCCTGACAACGGCGCAGCTGGACGGCCAAGCCAAGACCAGGACCGAGTAAGGTTTAAGGTTTACGACTACTACTACTACTACTACTACTACTACTACTACTACTACTACTACTACTACTACTACTACTACTACTACTACTACTACTACTACTACTACTACTGACTACTAACTGTTACTAATTTATATTTTATTATTATTATTATTATTATTATTATTATTATTATAAATTATTATTATTAAAATTATTATTATTATTTATTATTATTATTGTTATTATTATTAGTATTATTAATATTATTATTATTATTATTTAATACTACTACTACTACTACTACTACTACTACTACTACTACTACTACTACTACTACTACTACTACTACTACTACTACTACTACTGCTATTGCTACTGCTACTGCTACTGCTACTGCTACTGCTACTGCTACTACTTTACTACTACTAATACTACTATACTACTACTACTACTACTACTACTACTACTACTACTACTACTACTACTACTACTACTACTACTACTACTGTGTTACTACTACTACTACTACTACTACTACTACTACTACTACTACTACTACTACTACTACTACTACTACTACTTACACTACTACTTACACTACTACTACCACTACTACTGCTAATACGAACTACTACTACTACTACTACTACTACTACTACTACTACTACTACTACTACTACTACTACTACTACTACTACTACTACTACTACTACTACTACTACTACTACTACTACCACTACCACTACTACTACTACTACTACTACTACTACTACTACTACTACTACTACTACTACTACTACTACTACTACTACTACTACTACTACTTTAATTTAAATATTAATACTAACTACTATTACTACTACTACTACTACTACTACCACTTACTATTACTATCACTACTACTACTACTACTACTACTACTACTACTACTACTACTACTACTACTACTACTACTACTACTAAGTAGTGACTACTTACTACTACTACTACTGCTACTACTACTACTACCACTACTACTACTACTACTACTACTACTACTACTACACTACTACTACTACTACTACTACTACTACTACTACTAAGACTACTACTTGGCGAGGAGCGGCCACTGGGTCTTCATCGACTTAAGGTGGGCCGGACGTGCATGGTTGTCTTCGCTTTGGCTTCCGGTTGTTGTTGATTCAGGTCCTGCAGTCGACAGAGATCCAGAATGGAGAGGCCGGAGCGTGCTCGGCATGTGCCATTCAGTCATCTCTGATTCCTTTAATGCGAGGCTTCGGTGCCGCCAGCTCTGGCGATGATCCCCGCAGAGGTGTGGCTCCTGCTTATTGACTTATTTAGATGTGTGGGTATTCGTCGCGACATCCAGGCCATGCTGGATCCACGTCTGGGTGTCCCTGAAAAGGCCGACCCGCGACTTGTGCAGTATATTAAATATAATTTAATATTTAATTATATATATATATATATATTATAATAATTAAATTATATATATATATTATAAATTAATTAAACTATATAATGTATATATATATATATTATATATATATAATATATATATATATATATATATATATGTTAGAAATATAAAGGGCACTGCCATTGTATGGCCGATCCTGCCTGCTTGGAGGCTATGGTGGAGCCTTCTCCGGATGCACCTGCACAGGTCTGCGATTTATTGTGCAGTATATATATATATATATATTATATATTATATATATATATATATATATTATATGGGCACTGTCATTCGTGCATGGTCATTCCCGTGTCGAGGCGATGGTGGTGCCTTCCACGAATGTCCATGCACAGGCCTGCGACTTGCGAATTGTTGGACACTCTATATAGCTGTGATTTGTGCATGGCCCTTACCCGGAGCCAGGTTGTGCCTCCTTCGGCGAATGTCAGTGCACAGGTGCTGCTGGGCACTCACACATGCAGTAATTCTGCCGGGTGTTCCCGATGTGAGGCGATGGTGGCTCCGCCTTCGACGGATCTCGCCGCAGAGGTGGGGCTGCATGCTTCCGATTGATCTTAACTGCCGCTGTAGACCTGCATGCATGGGACTGCACATTCAATCAAGCGATACCTTGCTGTGCTGCAGACATTAGCTGTTCTGACGAGCCCCGCTTTCCTGGAAAGTGGATGCATCACGACTAGGTCAGACTAGGTAGTGGCTCCAAGGCTCCGACAGGCTGCCAGGCTCCAACATGTCAAAGCTCAGTCTAACATGTCATATAATAGTAGGCTCCCAGGCTGCCAGGCTGCAACATGTCAAAGCTCAGTCTAACATGTATTATAGGCTCATAGGCTCCCAGGCTCCCAGGCTTTAGGGATCAACATGGGGCCCAAGCCCAAGAAAATGCCTCGTGACCGCTCTGCTTCCCGCACCCCGCGCCGGTCAGCGGTCAAAGCCAGTGCCAAGCCAGCCAGTGCCAAGCCAGCCAGTGCCAAGCCGACCCTGTCCTCTGATGACTCCGACGAAGACCTCCTTCGATCCACTGATGAGGAGACCGGTGGGCCGCCGGGCACTGGCAGTGGCACCAGCGCTCCGAGGGGACCACCACCTCCAACGCCTGTTGTCTCTCGCGGACCACCCCCTCCAACGCCTGGTTGCTCTCGCAGACCCGCCACAGATTCTGAAGGACCACATGGACCGCCGGCACCGACACCTGCCACTGCATTTTTTGTAGGACCCGGTGGAAGTGGACATAGCGGAGGTGTGACTCACAGCTTCACTGCCCCGGTAACCCCGGTACAGGCGTTCCAACTGGCCTCCAGGGC